ATGTAAGTGAGGATAGCAAAATAAAGTAAACTGACAAATCATACCTAAAAATTCTTCATACAATGGACTACCAGTGAAATTGATACAAATTTGGGTCCAAAAATTATTCAGACGTTGTAATGCGTAATGTACATTAGCTCTATTGTTTATAATACATTATGTATTTTAACGGTTTTGTTCAATAAAACCATATGATTTCTTGCTTTTGATACTTTATTTGAACTAATTATTATTGCTTCATTGCTATTTAGTTGCTAGTTTTTTTTCCATTTTCATTTTTTAATGGTTGAATTAAATTGTATTAATCAAAAAGCCTGTCTAATTAATTGAGTTTTACAGTTTTATCTTTACCAAATTCTGTTTTCCATTATTTTCTGGATTCCATTTTAATGGTTCCATTAAATTTTAATAATCAAAAGCATCTCCAATTAATTGATTTTATTTAAAAAAAAAAAAAAAAAATTCTTTATTTTTTTTCAGAAATACTGCACATTTACATTTTTCACCTAAATAAATTCTGGTAAATAACATTTCTGGTAAATACTCCTTTAAAAAGTGTTTTTTGATTATAATTTTATTATTAGTAGACTAGAACACATGGATATGTTGTCATTCTTACACTATAATACTGAACTTTGATTTCAGTGATTTGGACTATGAGATGGACACTTGCTTCTTGCACTCTTTTGCACTTTACTTTTGCTTTAAAAAAGGATTTAATAGAAATTTGGATTTCATTTGGTTTAATAATATATTCTTAAGTAAAATTGTAGATTTTTTGTGGGAAATTAATTGTTTAGATTTATCGATTAATCGATAAATTAGTCGATAGATTAATCAAAATAAAAAGTCGTTAGTGGCAGCCCTAGTAGTAATGTAATGTTAAATAATGGAGCCTTGTTGTAAAATGTGACCGAACAATAATAAAAAATCTGACATTTTCAGTCAATATCCAGGGCAAGTTTTACGTCAGTTTAATATGTAAAAATGTTTAGGTTTGAAAATAACTAGCTTTTTAAGTCTTTAACAATGCTGTGATGAACACCATTGTGAATACAAAAATCTGAATGGCTGTTTGAAACATTTAAATCCTGTTCAAAAACAGAAAGTAGCTGCTTTGTGTACTGGGTTGCCAAGGTAACGGCTGCATTTCTGCTCCTCCTAATCTGTTGGTTCGGTCTTCACCAATTGTCACCCACAGCTCCTAGAGGGTGCATTCAAAATGTAATCAAAATAATTTTAGTTCTTGAAACTGTTGCAAAAATATAAGCAAATTTTGGTATCTGCAACCCTCTACATTGCGAGTAAATCACTCGCATATGCGACTAAATCTTCACTCTGGCGACTAAATGATGACTAATATTAGCCAATGGCTAATAAATTCTCAGATTTTACTCGCCAGTGTGTACCTTCATTTAAAAACTGCATGTTGTGTTTACTTGTGTTATCTTTGACTAATATTTAAATTTGTTTGATGATCTGAAACATTAAAGTGTGACAAACATGCAAAAAAATAAGAAATCAGGACACTTTTTCACACCACTGTATGTATGTGTGTGTGTGTGTATATGTGTGTGTGTGTGTGTGTGTGTATATGTGTGTGTGTATGTATGTGTGTGTATATGTGTGTATATATGTATACGCGTATGTATATATTTATCAGTCTGGCGAGTAAACAAAAAAATGTACTAGCCAATGGCGATTCAATTGCCAAGGTGTTCGTAGAGGGCTGATCTGGTATCACTCGTTTTTCATGAATTGACCTACATCTCCTGAATGCAACATGGAAACTTAATGTAGTATTGCTATATTATAATTTGTATAAATGTTTAAAATCCTTTTTGTAGGTCAAATGAACAATTATAGCATACCAATCAACAACTGCTTGTTTTTGTGCAGCAGGAGCAGTTTTATGTGTTATTAATGTACAAAACCATAAAAGCTGCGTAAGCTTTTGCACGGATAATGTTTATTAAAGTGTTTACTTGGTTGTAGTTTCAGTTCTGCAAAACATTGTTCAGAGTTTAAACAACAGACACAATTTTGAGCTGCAAAAGAAAGCTTAACACTCATCTAAAATTGACCTCTGTGTCTGAAATGTAAATGTTGTTGCTGTAACCTGTTTTTGTCAAATATTTAAAATAGACTTTATTTTGTGTGTTCATGTGCAGAATGTGGATGATGATGCCAGTATTCACGATAAACTGCTGTGGGCCATTCACATGAGTGGGCTGGACGATCTGCTTAAGTTTCTGGCATGTGCTCCGAGTGAACAGCAATGGAGCTTCCACATCCTGGAAATCATCTCCCTCATGTTTCGAGATCAGGTGACATATTTAAATAATATTTGGTACACAGAGTCTTTGCTCTTTAAAAGAGTAGTTCACACAACAATTAAAATTCTATCATCAGCTGCTTGCCCTGATGCTATTCTAGATAGTTTTCTTCTGCAGAAAATATCTCTGCTCTGTTGGTCCATGCAATGCAAGCTCCAAAAAGGCAGCTGAAATACATATGGCTCCAGTAGCTTCTGAAGCGATCTAATTGTAACTCCTTTTTCGGTGTATTCTTTAGGCACAATGGGCCTCATTCATGAAACTTGCGTAAATATATAAGTAAATTCAGAGTAATTTGTGCGTAAAACAGACCTTCCCAAAAACTCTCTTCCGGATTCACAAACACTTCGTAAACATCAGATTTGATAGTTAAACGTGTATGTTAATGAATTCCAATCATTCGGAAATGGGGCAAGCGTGCATGCTCATTCACAATTACCGTAATCCCCTCCCATGAATTCCGACTGACATCATATTATGAAACGAAAATAAGGATTTCAACATGTCCTCTCAAAAGCGAACGAAAAAGAAAAAAGAATAAAAAAATAAATAAAAAACACTGTTATCGGAAGTGCATTCAAAACGCAGCATTTTATTTTCAAGTGTACATAGTGGAGTATCAGGTCTTAAAGAAAAGTACTTGAATGCAGCAAATGACACTCCTTGGTCTCCCCTTACCCTTATGTAAAAAATAAATAATGAAATATATTTACAGACATACAATTTGTGTCTTTCGTTTCTTTCTTGTTACAATGCACACCTTGACGGTAAACCAAATTTTTGAACTGCTTCTGAGAAGAAGTGGTAAGCTGTTGATGCCTGGTTGTTATTTGCTGCATTCAAGTACATAACCTGAAAATACAAAGAACATACAAACCAATTTGGGATTTACAATTATGTACACATACAATTATTTAATGGACAAGCATATACGGGTGAACTACAGTTCATTTGAGTTATAGCAACAAGTTGTCTATTAGTTTTATTTTATTTGTATTTTGCGAAGTTAATATAACCCATTTTTGTATGAAAAAATCAAATATAACAATTTTGGTAGATTTACCATGCTAATAACTGTGGAAACGTGCCATTACAATCTATACAAAGGGTTTATGTCGTGTTTTATCTTTGTAACATCACAAGATTGCAATCACTAGTAAACGGAAGAATTTATGATAATAAACTTTCTGCTAAAGATCTATTCTATTGACAAAGCATGCAATGAATTTTCATTAAAACAGCCATGTTATATTTATTAAAAAAATAAATAAATAAATGACCATTTACATGCATCTAGTCCATTAATAAAGCCATGTCTCAGGTCACATGTGAATTATGGATCACCTTTTTACAGGCGTCCAATCACAGCTGACTTCCGGAAAAGGGGAAGTAACCAATGGCGTTTGAGATGGACCTTTTTCACATTTCCGGGTTTCTCAGCAGCGGAAGTCGTCATAGTTGGGTTAACTTGAAGAGAATGAATGGGAGAGTACCACAAATATATGTTTTGCATTCCCATTTGCACAAATAGCAAAAGAAAAACTCCACTATAGTGTTTTCATGACTTTCAATAAAAGGAAAAAAATTGAGAGAGACTGATAACGGCAGTCAGAAGAGATTTCAAATTTACCGTCCCTCCCATAGCCACTGCGTTAGAAACACCCTCGCATTAGCGTTAACTGTTTTTTTTGTATCAGAAGAGATTTCAAATTTACCGTCCCTCCCATAGCCACTGCGTTAGAAACACCCTCGCATTAGCTTTAACTGTTTTTTTTGTAATTTGATGCAAAGGTGATATAATACAAAGAATAGTGTTATAAATGTACATAAATTTAAAAAAAAATACAAATATGAAAAATTTTTGAGGATTTACGCTGATGACTGTTAAACGCGTCATCACAGTCTTGTGAAAAGGGTCCATTACAATTAAAACAGCAAGTCCCGCCCCACGACTGCCAAAAATAAGTGTTTGCGCGAGCAAAAGCAAGCAGGTGAAAAAATACGGAGCGCGAGAATGAGGGGCATGATCACGCGCGTGCAACAAGACATATCCTTGCTCGCAAGGGCTTGTATTGCGCGCACAGGTGATGTGATGCGCGCAAGTGTTTAAAAAGAGCTCACAGGCTCCCGTTTCCTCACGCGTGGATCTTTTATCCTCTCGTGGAAGCATTTTACCGTGCGCGTAAACATAACGGGTTATGCGCAACAGACTTCCGTATTCTGTTAACCGGGTCTCGTCGCTTCCGGTTCAAGCATTTTGCATATGCTTAGTTAAATATGAAGCAGTTTTACTCAAGATGCCTTCAAAGTAGATACCAATGATGATCATAACCAATGTCCATCACATATGCGGACTGATATCTAAAAGTTTTTTTTATTTTTATTCTTTTCACATTTAGATATAAAAATGTAATAAAACGTTAACAAAAACAGCTAGCTAGTTTAACTGATTATCTTAAAAGTCCATAGATATCACTATTATTTAATACGGCTGTTAACACGTTCTCCGACAAGCGGAAGCAATGAGACCTGTTTTCCGGGTTTGGTCAGGTGATGTTCGACATATACCCTACTGGTGCACTCGGTTCTTTTTGGCATTGATTTGCCGGCATACATGAATCTCAAAATTTATGTCAGAACAGCTTTATGAACGATTTACACAAAAAAAATTTCTGCTCGTGTTTCATGAATGAGGCCCAATGATTTCAAACGACACTTTCTAAGGTTTGTCTCGTGCAGATGGTGCTAGGAAGTGTAATCAAGCTTCAGAAATCATGATCACCAAAGAAACTTGCTAATGCCAAGTATTTTAGTGAACGTCTTTAATTTTTTTTAGGAAAGGTTGGTGACCATTCACTTGCATTTTATGGACCTACAGAGCTGAAATATTATTCTAAAAATGTTTGTTTGCCAAAGAAAGTCAGTAATAAAGTCATCTGTGTTGCATGAGAGTGAATAAATGTGCATTTTTGGGTGAACTGTTCCTTTACAATTGCATGTTCAATACATTTTAGAGAATTACAAAACATTCAGGAAACATGGATCTTTTCATCTGATAATCAGCTGTATGTTGTTTTTGACATGACTCTTGCAGACTTCTGAGCTTTTGGTGAATGCAGGACAGATGCGTTCAGCCCAGGAGAAACAGAAAGACATGCAGGAGCTGGAGTTACTGAGACAGAAAGAGCTGGCAGAAAAACGCAGCCGCACGCTATTGAGAGGTGCCAGGTGAGAGAATGTAATCATATTGGGCATAGATCATGATGGTGGATTAATTTATGTATCAGTTGCTATTGTTTTTTTTTAAAGGTTTATTTAGCAGCCATGCTTTAAAGTGTCATGAAACACTAAACAACTTTATTTATTTGCTTGCATTTTTCTTTTTTACTGAAACATCAGGCATAATGAGCAAGATGAGAAAGTATGTCAATATGTTAATGTGTTCCATTTGTATATATTCTTTAACAGGGTGTATTCTTTGAATGATTTTGAGAGTTGCCTCTTTAATTTTATTACATTTTATTATCTATTCACTATAATCAGTAAGGTCTAACACCAGCCGAATATTAGATATATGTCCTTCATAAACTCAGACTTACTTCATCTGTAATTTGATGAAGTCCCTTGTTTAGTCGTCCAGCAACCACTATATAGCTAATTTTTATTTATTTATTTTTTGCATCATTCAGAGATATCATCTTGAAAAGCTTTCATCAGTCATTATCAGGGGATTTGATCTCTTTTATTTTTGCAATACCTAATTTTATTTCATTTAATGTTATTTCTGCATCACATAAAATTCGGTTTTAGCAAATCAATGATTGTTGCTTGTTCTTTACTGGGTTTCCACGGGTCCTTAAAATGTTTTAAATGTAGTTGTATCAAATTTAAGGCCATAAAAAGTCTTAAATGGTACAAGTCTTAATTATGATTTCAAGAGGTCATAAATTTGAGGACAGAATGACTAGAATTGCGATATAGCTTTATTATTAAACTTCATAAGGCTATGATTTCATAAAATAAACGAGCACTACACGTTTTAAAAAAGATACGTTCCATTCGACCGAAAGTAGACTGCGAAGTGGACTTCACGGACTATTCAGCCATCTTAAGTGAGATTCCAATCCGAAGGGAGCAAACATTCAGTTCGTAGGGCACTGAAAAAGGCATAGGGAATAAGGAAATATCTATACATCACTTCACAGGAAGTGGACAGGGAAGATCACCCAACTGTCATTGCGCACCGCGTCACCAATCAGAACTAATGATGGAGCAGAGCATTTGCATATTGTATTGTATGAATAGGTGAAACCGGCTGAGGCTGTCATTTTTTATTTTACCTCAAGAGTGTTTACTAGGAGGCTGCGTGTGGGAAAGAAAGTGCACAAGATGAGACCACTACATTGTTAATAGTCAATTATATCTGCAATAGTCATACAAGTATAAAAAACATACATTTTGACTATTTAGTGGATACATATTTGTATATGTATTTAAATTTGAAAGTAAAAAAAATTACTATTTATGTATGTTATATAGACTTGTGCCGGTATTCGGTAATGCGATACATCACGGTAATGAATATGCACGGTATTGTTATCGTGGGCTCTTCTAAATACCATGAATAATTATATATTACAAGTTATTCAGAATTTTGAATGCATTTTAAGAATACTTTTCCCATCAACTGGTCAAAATGCACAACACCGCTGTATGCTGCCTGAAAGATGCTTGCACACTCTGATGTAAATAAGCGCAAACACACCGTATACCGTGATAAAAGCATTAGCAATTAATCGCAACATGTAAATTTGATACCGGCATATCCCTAATGTTATATCATAATCTGCATGACCCCGTCATTGCCTTTCTTTTATGATGTTCCAGGGCTTTCTTTCCAAATGAGCGATTATTGTCAGCGAAGTTCACTTAAACAAATGCTTAAACAGGTGCTTAGGGATTAGGGAGCAGTGAACACTGCGTAGGGATCCTGTCAGTCGAAACGCACCTAAAGTCAGGTGCTGCTGCTTTGTGTACAACCGTTACCAGGGAAACTGCTATATTTCTGGCGTTCAGAAAGCGACACCTGCTGGCAGAGAATGAATATGCATTTTTCAATAAGCCCCTCTGCTGTTTTTGTTCAGACCAGTGTGAAAATCGACCCATATTTATGTACAGCAAGACGCACAGTTGTAAATGTGAACTGGTAGATCGACAAGAAGATAATGCATTATAAAAATCTAAACAATTAAGACAGTAAAATATATTTATATGTTATTTAATGAATATAATAATTGATTGATAATTGCTTAAATTAATATTATAATTGATACTTTTGACTCGTCCATTTTCTTAAAAATGGTTCAAAGGCTGAAATGGGAAGTTAATCATTTTATAAAACTTTGTTTTTGTGAAAACCTGTATCTGAACTGTAAATCATTCTTTTGACAGTCATTTTAGAGTTGAATATGTTACCATAGACATTGCCCTACCTCGCTTATTTGGTATTAATTTTATTTGTGCACTATGCAGGTCTTAAAGCTCTTAAATTTGAGCTTAAAAATCCTGCAGATTCTCTGCTTTAACAGATTAAGTTATCAGTGTCTGGTTTGACTGGTGTAAGGCTTGGCATAAAATGTAGCCACAGATTTAGATATATCTTTAAAATTTTCATGAATTAATATCTATTTTAAGCTTTAAAACAGAATTAGATAAAAGTAAAAATAATAAAAGTATTGAGTTCTTTCCCCCCTTTTCTAACCATCTCCTTTATCTAAAAAATAATTCCTTTGCTTTCTATGGAAGCCTGCTTTCGGCACGGAATAAAACATAAAAAAGGTAATTGCGACTTATCTCACAGTTCTGACTTTTTTCTCACAATTTCGAGTTTGCATCTCACAATTCTGACTTCTTTCTCACAATTCCTGGATATAAACTCACAATTGCAAGTTATAAAGTCAGAATTGTATAACATATAACAATAAACTTGCAATTCTGACTTTTTTCTCTGAATTGCGAGTTTATATGTCTCAATTCTGACTAATTTTCTCAGCGTTGTGAGATACAAACTTGCAATTGTGAGTTATAAAGTGCAATTCTGAGGGGGGAAAAACTCTTCTTACAATTGCAATTGTGTGTTATAAAACGTGATAAAAATATCAGAATTGTGAGATAAAAAGTTGCAGTTACCATTTTTATTTCTTATTCAGGTGTTGAAACGGGCTTCCATAGCTTTCTTTTCATATAATTTTTCCAGGTCTAATTGTAGTATATGTAACTTGATGTAAGATATGTAAAATTGATGGATCAGTTGAGACTTTTTTTAATCTTTCCATTAACGTGTCTGATATAAAGAAATTGTCAATTCTTGATTGTTTGGATCTATCCTTGTTATACTATGTAAATTTTTGTCAGGATTTTTAAATCTCCAATCATCTATGACATTAAGATCCAAACCTAATCTACTAATAATTGGAAATGTGAAATTTGGTCCTGCAGTTATTGGATATTGGTCTATTGGTACATTAGGGACTAAATAAAAATCTCTTACAAGGATAATTTTAATATCCTGAAAAAAAAAAAACTCCTTAATTAAGAACCTATTATCATGTTTACTATTAAATCTTTATTAATAATAAAATTCAAATTAGACATTTTTCAAGTGCATTAGCTTTAATTCAATTCAAGTTTATTTGTATAGCGCTTTTCACGATGCAAATCGTTGCAAAGCAACTTTACAGCAAATTAAGTTTCTACAATATTTAGTAGTAGCTTATTAGTGGTTACTAGTGGTCGACCGATATATCGGCCGATATTTGGCATTTTTTTCAAATATCGGCAGATAAGTTTTTCTGTTTGGCCGATGCGTTCGAGACGGGGCTTTTATTTTGACGGCGCTGAGAGCTGCAGCGCCTGAGCACACAGTGCTCACATTCTCCCTTTTGTTCGCTGTCGTCGTTAACAGTTTTGTCTAATACGGATAGAAGTCTGTCTAATAATCTGACAGAACTGTTAAACAAAGGAATTAAAATGTATACAAAAAGTATTATAACGATTGTTTTTATATTACTAGTAATAGAAAGGCAAACGTTATAATACTTGCTCGTTTGCCGTCAGCTTTCAGCAAATACGCATTTACATAATTTAAACAAATCTTTGAATGACTAATAAACATCTAATTTCAAAAACCTTGCCAACTTAGTCGGATCCAGTTGTGAGATTTTGTGAAGTGTTCAAGTCAAGTCACCTTTATTTATATAGCGCTTTTAACAATACAGATTGTGTCAAAGCAACTGTACAGCATTAATTAGGAAAATATTGTCAATAATGCAAAATGATAATAGTAAACACTCAATTTTCAATTAAAGGCAGTTCATCATTGAATTCAGTGATGTCATCATCCAGCTCAGTTCAGTTTAAATAGTGTCTGTGCAATCAACTGCAATCAAGTGTGCATGTGGCCTGCATGATCGCGTGTTGTCTGCGTGACTTTCAATCTGTGCAAACTGAATGCTTTAAACATTAAATTCGTGATTTCAAATTATGCTGCACTTTATGCATTTGACCACTTTCATATTCATGTCATTTTCACTGTGTGCTGTATGTAAAATGAGTGTTACCTTGGCTTTATTTGAAAAAATATGATTCCCAATGCACACAAACTTCCCAGAATACTGAGTGCTCTGTTGGTTACAGTTTACTTCCTTTTTAATTATGTTTTTATTAAATATTTATTTACGAGAAATACTTTGTCATCTAAAGTATAAGTATGTTTATTTTACTAATTAATTTTTTAATCCATTTTCAAATGATTTCAAATTTCTTAAATATTAATTAAAATAAATACAATTATATCGGCCACCCTGCTTTCCAAGATATCGGCATCGGCTGTCAAAAAAGCAATATTGGTCGACCACTAGTGGTTACTGTCAGTTAATGTACATATAAAAGAAATGTACGGAAAAATCAATTAAAGACGTAATCAAACAGACGATGAACACTATTAACAGCAGTTATTATATGATGCAATTTAACTTATAGCAAAATTTGGTAGTTCTGTATGTTGTTTCATGGTTTGCATCATCTGAGGTCCTCTGAGGGGTTGGCATCATCTCTTCTCAGGTGTTCTGGATCCAGACTGAAGCTTGTGTAAATCCCAGTTACCATGGGATGTCAATCCTGTGGCAAAAACAGAGAAACCAATAGAGACATAATTATAGCTGCTGTTC